CATGTAACCTTTGGATTGATTTGTTGGATATCGCGATCTTAAATCATTGTAAATGCATGCAGGCAATGGGTGAGTGTTGCTCCATCCTAGGTAACCAAACAGGTATCTCGCAACCCATCTGTAGCCAACAGCCTTCATGAACCTAAAATGAAATTCTGTATTAATTAAGTGAACCTGGGTTTGATTCTAACCCCCATTGAGTTTAATAACTTGCGAAATCTTACTATTCGAGTTTGCCTAAAGAAGTTTTTAGAAACTGCAATAGCCTGATAAGTTGTGATCCTTTATTGTGTTTGCTAATAATTTGACAGTGATTTGATGGTATTATTTGTGATATGAAATAAATTTATCTTACCTTACCCCTGGTTGAAATGTGAATAAAAATGGTGAAACTGGTTATTACCCATTCTCGCTCTGATCGGCTCTTTTCTTGTATTTCTTCACGTCTCTCCCCTTGAGTAACGGGCTCACATATGTTAGAACCACATTACAGGTCATTGACTTGTAGCCCTCAAACGCTGTGATACATCGGGTGTCTTCTGCAACGCCCACCAGTTTCTCGATCACCTCTTGGACTTCCTGGCAACATCGGTACTCCAACAAACCAGTTAATAAGTCGATATGACATTCTCCCCAACAGCACCTACCAGTTGTAATAAAAACAGGACTATTTTGTTGTTGTTAACTAAGAAAAACGCTTTTGCATCACCAGAAAACTCGCGAACGAAACCAAATCAACAGAACTGACGCCACCCAAACAGATTGAAGAATCTCCCTCTACTGCCCGTATGTGCCATAAGTTAAATTGGAAACGAAAATATAAAGCCAAAACTTACCATTTTTCAACAAAATGACGGCCTTCGTAACGAGCTGCCAACGTTTCACGAAAAAGACCATTTTTGTCATCCCTGTTGTCTTGTTGTCCTCCCCCTGGCCTAGCCAACGGCTCGTCTTGGTAAGGTGCAGCAGCCCCCAGAAGAACAACCCCGTAATTCTCTTCATCCGAGGTTTCCGAAGAAATACCCGCTGTCGAAATACTTTCATGGTCACTAGTATTACTTTCTGACATCTTTTTGGTGGAAATACTTTATATACGAAAAATCAGCACCTTTTCCACCAGACCAGTCAGAATTTATCAGTGGTTTGTATCTGAAGTTAATCGAGGTGATCATAATTGTGACGTCACACATGGCGCGTTTTTTTCGCATTACCTGCCCACTTTCAAAGGGCAATAAAATCCATAAGAAAAATGAAAAGGTCGACGAGAAAGATACCATTGCACTCAGAAAATACTGATTTGTAAATTCCCACGATTTCTTGAAAGCAGGAGAGGAAAGTGTACCTGCGTTGTCAGTAATGCAGGGCTACAAGTACCTAGGCATCACTTTCTCTACTAGCAGAGCTAGTTGTATAGCCAAAAAAGGTTTTGGATGGTGGGATGAGGGAACTGAGTCAGGCCCCTTTGAAGCCACAGCAGCGCATATATTTGCTACGGCTTCACCTCATTCCCAAGTTGTACCACACACTTGTAGTTTCCAATGTTACTGATAAGACTCTCAAGTGGCTTGACTGTTGCGAAAGATCAGCAGTAAGAAGTCGGTTGCAATTACCAAAGGACACAACGAACGCCTTTTTCATGCCAAGGAAAGGGATGGTGGCCTGGCCATTCCTTCATTGCGTCACTCCGTCCCCATCATGAGAAGCAACAGATTAGGAGAGCTGGTGAGCAGTGCTGACCCTGCTGTTGTTGAAATGTTGGACACGAAGAAGTTCCAACACCTGCTTTGAAAATCTGAAAAGTTGCCAAAGTTGGGAGAAGACAGCTGCTTCCTTGCGTTGGGGTGACCCCCTCCACTCAAGTATATATGGCCAGGGTTTGATATCTCACCCTGATGTCCCCCAGATTCATAGGTGGATTAGTGATGGAAGCTCGTTGATGAGCGGGGTAGAGTTCATTGGTTGCGTGCAGTTGCATGCTGGTGTTCTACCAACGACAAAACGTGCAAGTAGAGGAAGACCTGCTAGAAGTGTCTATTGTGATGCTTGCGGAAGAATTGAAACTGTTGGACACATCCTCCAGGTATTTACGAACTTCGTAGACACTTCGTAGATCTTTATTCCGAATTTCTTTGAATATCAAGATTCCATGAATAAACGATAAGATTTCACCTGGTTTTGTGTCCTTGTACGGGAAACCTTTATCTTGAGAGTTCCTCGCGAGTTTCTTCGGTTTCAAGAGCGATTTCTTAGAGTTTCTTCGAAAAGAGCGATGGTTCTTCGAGAGTCGATTTCGAACGAGAGAGTTCATTCCTTTTTCTTACTAGGTGTTGACACCTACTTCCACCTTCCACAACAAAACAAAAAGCCCAGAAGAAAATGTCTGCTGACCTGGGGCCACTGCATAAGACGGCACAACAATCTCTGCAACTTTGTGGCGGGATAGCTCACACGGAAAAGAAAACCGTGTTAGTCAAGAGGTATTCATGAACCTTCAAAATGGCACTAAGATGAAACCGGATCTG